AGGGGGGGGGGTCAGCTGTGCTTTCATGGAATCAATACAATCAATTGTTTTTATGGGGCATTGAACTTATGATCGGCTCAAATAGAAGCGAAAGGCGACAAAAAAGAACAATATTTATTAAAAACCAAATCAACCTCAACAATATATTACGTTTGTTCGTTTTTTGTTTGAGTAAAGAGAAGCACATCGACACAGTAAAGGTTATTTAGTGCTTGGTTTGGGGGGGGGGGGGGTAAGACAGACAGGAACAACAGATAGAAAGTAAAGAGTTATAGGATCTACCACCCCCCAACCCAGCCTCTTTTAAACAAATCACTAGAAACAGAAAAATCACGATATAATAGGACTGTCCCCGGCGCGCACGGCTCGTGACAGACAGGCAAGCTGTGGCCTCTATAAATAAAGCAGGTCAGGTGTATAAAAAGGCAGCGTCGTCATTTCGGCACGTGCGACATCACCTGGCGTTAGGGAGAGTACACGCGTACACTGCACTGCTGAGCTGACTGGAAGTTGTTAACAGTACAGTATGGAGCCATTTGAGGTAAGGAATGAACACAATGAAGCACACGTAAAACGTTTAACCCCTTCGTTGTTAAAATGTTTCCCTCTATGTTGGTGCAGACACGATAAAAGTCTCCATTAAAAAGAGATTAAAACTCAAAGCCAGATACTACTAACCCCCTTTTTTTCAGAAAAAGAAACCGCACAAGCTGTAAAGGCCGCTACACACCTGCAGTTAGAATTGTTCGAGTTGAGTTGTCGAGTAAACCCGCCAATCAAGCCCGCTACACACCTGCAGTTAGAATCGTTCGAGTTGAACTGTCGAGTTAACCCGTCAGTTAACGTCTGCTACACACCAGCAGTTAGAATTATTTGAGTTGAACTGTTGTGCTAACCCGTCAGGTAAACCGGAACACGGTACGTGTGTATCCACACCGCACAAGCAGACGGCAAACATTCCATTGCTGTCATGGCGGAACATAAAATTGGCCTACTTATCAAATACAATAAATAAGCGAAAATATAATTTTGTAAATAAGCAATAAATCGAGCAGTGTATGCTTTGACTTTGTTAATTTTGACACGCTGAGTTCAAAAATATTATTATTATTTTTATAACCAGAGTGATATTTGTGTTTTAACGTGTTGAAAATTTTCTTCCCGGCTGAAAAAAAATCAAAGGGACGCCGCCTTTATGTTACAAGCCCCCAAAAATATGACACTGTCGCCTGCAGAGGGCGAACCACTCCCATACACACCTTCCATTCCACAGGCAGGTCGGCCCGTTTGAGTGAATCTGCGAGTCTCACTGCAGGTGTGTAGCGGGCTTAACTGTATTGAAACTTCCCCAGGTATACCACGGGAGGGAACCAGTTCGGGGAATGCAAGTCAGTACATGACATACGTCTACATAGCAGTGACGGGGTTAAACTTGACCTGGGCAGGATACATGTATCAAGATTGAAAAATAATTGTGACTTGTCTTGAAGCCCATCATGTACTTGTAGCCACAATCATAATATCTGTCATTGCACGTTTCGAGAAGAACAACTCGGTTTATTACATTTTTATAATTCACCGGTGCGTTTAATTTCAATTCAAAACTGTTTATATTTACAATATCTTCACTCCTCTCCCTTTAATACAGTAAGTTCTATTTTTTGTAATTTGCGTTAACATTGGGCAAGTATTCTTTTGTCTGTCAGTTGTTAGAGTGGGATTGAGTTTGGCTGGAGAGCAGTCGAGCATTTTTTAAAAACCATCCTCGATGACAGCATTGGTTGGGTTGAAGCAACGTTAATTCCATTTTCTCAGGGTATTTGTCTTAGGTCTTAGCCAGCATATTACATATAAATACTATCATGTAGATCACATATAAATATGAAAGAGAGAGAGAGAGAGACTAGAGATAGAGAGAGAGAGAGAGAGAGAGAGAGAGAGGAGA